AAAAAATGAGGAACACATGATGCAGGGATGTCATATTTTTTCCCACCAATACAAGTACACACCCTTTTCAGCCTAAATTCGATATCCTAGTTTAAGTCTGTCATAGTCTTCAATTATTTCTATGAACATGAGGATATGCTCTTGCAAATGAGTTGTCTGCTCAATAGAGTGGACATTTCCTTGCAAAATTAAAATAGTATGTAGTCTTGGTTAGAGTAGTATCTCCCTACAACTTTCAGTAAGTCTAGTCTTTTGGTGGCTCAACTTTGTTTGAAAGAAGTTATAATTTTCTGTATAATTTTTGAATTTGTCCCGTATTTCCCTGTGGTTTTTTGTATTAACGCTATAATACAATTATCTGTAGTTTGGTTAGACTATTATTTTCTACAACTTGCCTTATATTCCTATTTTATCATAGGAAAACTTAAGAAGGGTCTCCTTCTTATCATGGAACCCTGAGTTTGTTCCGTGTTTGAAGAAAATATTCACTTAAAAATTATGTCTTTGCAGGATTGAAACGTATCCTGTCTATGCTCTTGGAAGAAGAGCTATAGGCTGAATTAAGAGATGAAGATGCAACAAACCTAATTCGGCTTCTTTTTGTGTCATCTGGGAAGACAGTTTTGTAGAAGATTGTTCCTGCTAGTGATAATAAAAAGAAATATCACACCAAATCATAAAAGGTGAGGTTCTTTAGTTCTTGTTGTTGATACTCTCTGAGACTCTTACTAAATGTTATATTTTTGCTTCAAACGTCATCGTTTACACCTGAGAGTGGACTCCAAGAAAGTGCTTGTGAAAAAATAAGTTGGTGATATTTTCGCTACCTGGTAGATCTGTACTGTTTTAGCGGTGTCTTTGTGCTGCAATTTTTCTTGAACTGTCTGCTTGTCTTAAATCAGGTCAGTTGGTCAAATACATCCAGATTACTTGCTAGTATTTTTTAGTGGAAGAGGTGCCATTTTTGTATAATTTCATGTTACCATCTTTGACATTTTTCTAACAACATTTAAGACATTTTATTATAGTTGGAGTTTGATAATAGAGTGAGCAGTCATATCATTCATTACCATGGAACATAGATGGTAACTGTGTGTGTCCTAACCCAACAAGAACTTCCAGGATTTGTCTTCTTAATAATGTCAACATAGTCACATAATCTAAAGAATTCCAGATTCCAATCACCCATGAACTGACTCATTACCCTGCAGTTGGCTCTATAACAAACAGTTCTCCCTACATTCAAACCCAATTGATCCCTTACCAATTCTTGAATATCCCAAAGTTTTATGTTAGGCTGAGATACAATCCTATCTTGAAATTTATGTGCAATGTACACAGAAGTGCGTAACTTGTTCTTGTTTTAGTAGGGCAGCGATGAAATGGGTGGTACGTCTTCACAATAAAGTCACCATAATTCCTGTCAGTGCTTCCATAAATCTCCCATTTGCATAGTATTTTTCTTTTACATTTGACTCTAATTTTGTGCTTCTCATTAGGCTTAAGTTCGTGTTGCACTTTGTTGTCTACAACATAAGATTACACAGCTAAGAGTGAGTTTCGTATTTCGCCCTTTTCTCCTCTGGTTTCACGACCACCACACACACTCACTTCTCTTCCTTTCTTTCTTTTTCCGTACTAAGCTGAGAGAAAACCAAAGCAAATCAAACCTCCATTTTAATTTCATCCCTCTCTTCCACTGTAAACAAAATCTAGGGTTTCTGCTGCGGAGTTTGAACAAATTTTCATCATCTCTGTTGTCTCTTTCTTGGAGTTACCTCTGGACTGACAAGTAGTAAAATATTGAGGACTTTTATTGTCGAAACTTTATTTGTTTTCTTTTTCAACTTTGTATTTTATTAAGATTATGCGGATCAGATCCACGTGTTCTTCATTATTTAGATGGTTAGAAGAAGGGAAACTAACATATATATGTGTGATTAGATTTCAAGACTTGGAAATATTTACAGTTTCTTGTTATTTTGGATGTTGTTGGGAGAAAATGAAAAAGTTCATTTTAGTGTTCATTTTGGTATAGTGCTTATTTTGGGGGATTTCTAGGGTCTTCTCAGATATGCCGATGATTTAACTGTCAAATCATTGAATATACCCCTAATGGGAAAAGGTTACCCCTGAAATTAGGCAAAACAGTGAGTGGGATTTTCTGTAAAGGGTGATTGCCCCTCTCTGTTGCGCCGCTGATTTTTCTGCATTATAAAAAACCAACATCCCTCGTTTATGAAAAAGCAAACACTGTAAAAACAAAAATGGATTTAACATGTATACTATGAGATCTTTGTATTTCTTCTGTGTCTTTGTTTTTTATTTTGAAACTAGTAACATTTGTATTTCATTTAGTACTTAGGTAGTACTGAAAAACCATATTTACAAAAGCAGAAAGGAAGTATAATCTATCTAAAAACTGAACCAAATCTAAATGGATCCTAAAACATCTATGATTGACTCAATTTCATTGGAGTAGACATTTGTACACCAAAAGCAGAACAACAAAATACACTTAAGCTTTACTTCCTGTAAGTTGTTGTTCCTATTCTCAAAACATCTCTCGTTTCTCTCCCTCCATATAGTCCACCAAATACTAGTAGGGATCATCCTCCATCTTTCTCTGTTTGGGGCCCCAACTCCAGCCATCTCCCAACTGAATAGAGTCTCATCAATCTTGCTAGGCATACACCAAGATATGCCTCTGAGATTAAGGAAAATCTGCCACATCTGCTCAGTAAAGTTGCAATGTAAGAAGAGATGTCTCACTGTCTCATTGACCTTACCACATAAGGAACATCTGTTACATAGAGAGATTCCTCTATTGGCCACATTATCCAATGTAAAAACTGCTTTATTGGCTAGTAGCCATGTAAAGCATGCCACTTTGTGTGTCACTTTGGTCCTCCAGATTTGCTTCCAAGGCCATTTGAAGTCTTGAATGCCACCAGGACTTATCCTCGCCTTGTAACTACCTTTGTTGTGCCCTTGCCACCATAAATAATCCTCGCCTGTTTGTATACCTTGAAAATTCTCCAGAACCTTAAACAATTCAAGTATTCTGGGAATTTCCTAGTCATTCAGATTTCTTCTGAGATCAGATCCCAACCTTGTTGTGTCCACATTTCAGCGACAGTCTTCTGTTGGTGTAGAGCCAATGTAAAGATGTTAGGAAAATGATCTTTGAGGCTCATACCACCCAACCATTTATCAAACCAAAAACTAGTTTTTCTTCCATTTTGTACCTTGACAGTAGACTGATTACTGAGAAAAGGCCAAAATATTCTGATGGATTTCCAAAGGCTAATCCCATAGGGGGTATTTACCTCTTTGGTTACCTATTTATTTAGCTCCTCATACTTGTTGATCACCCTATACCATAGTGCTTGGTCCTCCTGATGGTACCTCCATAGCCATTTCACCTTCAGAGCTTTGCTATGGTTTTTGAGATTCTTGATACCTAATCCACCTTGCATCTTACTTCTGATGATGTTCTTCCACTTGACTAAGTGAAAGCCTTTTCTTTCCTTATTTCCTTGCCACAAGAAGTTTCTTCTAATTTTGTCCAAACTCTGAACTACTGATTGGGGAATATGGAAGATAGATAGCATATATGTAGGGAGAGCATCCAGAACAAAGTTTATCAGAGTTAATCTACCTCCCAAGGAGAGGTACTGTGATCTCCATCTGGCTAGTTTCTTTTCACATTTCTCCAATATTGGGTTCCAAATGTCTATGGCTCTAGACTTTGCCCCCAAAGGCATGCCCAAGTATACTGATGGCAGAGTACCTGTCACTTCTCCCAAGGTTTGTGAGAGGTGTTCCATATCCGGAACCACATTAATTGGATACAAATGGCTTTTGTTCCAGTTTATATGTAGTCCAGATATGGCTTCAAAGTAGACTAGTATGAGTCTCAAAATCAGCAACTGCTCCTCCTCGGCCCCACAAAAAATTAGTGTATCATTATGATGTAGGTGTGTGATCTCCATACTATTCCCAGCAACCTTACTGACTTCAAATCCATGTATTCTTCCTGTTGTCTTGGCTATCTTCAACATATTGTTAAGCCCCTCCATAACTATGATGAACAGGAAGGGTGATAAGGGATTGCCTTGCCTGATTCCTCTGTGTGCACTGAAAAAGCCTTCAGGAGACCCATTGACGAGTACTAAAAACTTAACAGTTGAAATACAAAACTTGATCCAACTGATCCATCTGCTATCAAATCCCATTTGTCTCAACATACTTAGAATGAAATCCCAATTCACATGGTCATATGCTTTCTCAATATCAAGTTTGCATAGTATACCAGGTTTCTTCTGGGACACTCTAGAATCAATTGCTTCATTAGATATAAGCACTGCACCCATTATCTGTTTGCCTCTGATAAAAGCCATATGTTGTTTGTCTACCAACTTATCCACAACTCTCTTCAACCTTTCGGTCAAAACCTTGGACATTAGCTTATAGAAGCTTCCAATTAAGCTGATGGGTCTGAAGTCCTTGAGTTCCTTTGCTCCTATCTTTTTAGGAATCAGTGTTATGTAGGTTGCATTATAGCTTTTTTCAAACATCCCAGTTGAATGAAAATTGTGGAGAGCCCCCATAATGTCATGTTTAATGATCTCCCAACATTTTAGAAAGAATCCCATTGTGTATCCATCAGGACCAGGGGCTTTGTCTATAGCACACATTTTTAAACAGTCAAGTACTTCTTGTTCCTCAAAATCTTCCTGCAATGCTTCATTTTCATCCTCTGTAATGGTAGGATGGTTGCTGATATTTACAGAGGGTCTCTAACCTTCAGGTTCTATATACATCTTTTTGTAGAAAGAAATAATTTCTTCCTTAATTCTGTCTGGCTCTATTATAGTCTCTCCTTGTACTTCCAGTTGATCAATATGGTTGTATCTCTTGTGGGCATTAGCTGTTTGGTGGAAAAACTTTGTATTCCTATCCCCTTCCTTGAGCCACAAAGCCCTTGATCTCTGTCTCTAGGCCACTTCCTCATTCTTCAAACACCCCTCATACTCCATGAAAAGTGTGGCTTTTTTTTCTCTCTCCTCCTCAGTTAAAATTCTGTTGCTCTGATGTGATTCTAACTCAGCCATCTGATTGAGAAGGTTGTTCTTTTGCAATTTCAGATTACCTTGTTCATATCTGCTCCATTCTTTCAATTTCCCTTTGAGGGCTTTGAGTTTGCATGCTAAGATGTAATCTGGCTTCCCATAGAACTCAAAATCATTCCACCAGACCTTGATTCTTTCAACAAATCCTTCTTGGTTCAGCCACCAATTTTCGAACTTAAAATAGGATTTAGATTGTTCCCAATGTCCACACAACAAGGCTATAGGAACATGATCAGAAGTCACTCTTTGCATAGTGGTTTGCTTTATGTTGGTGAAAAGATTATTCCATTCTGTGGAGACCATAATCCTGTCTATCCTGGATGCTGTGATATGGTTATCACCCTTGTACCAGGTATACCTTCCACCACTTAATTGCAGATTAATGAGGTCCATGTCTTCAATGCATTCTGAGAACTCTCTCATTGCTGAGTTTAACCTGTTGCACTCCCTTTTTTCAGAAGGAAATCTACATACATTAAAGTCACCACAAACAGCCCATGGACCATCCATCAAGCCTCTTACATCAGCTAGTTCTTCCCATACAAAGCTCCTCTCCACTATACTATTCGGAGCATACACTCCGGTTATATGACATTCAAAATTGCTTGTCTGAGCTTTGAATTTACAAGAGAGAGTATAGGCTCCAACTTGCATAATTTCCCTTTCCCACATTCTGGAATCCCATAACATCATGATTCCTCCTCTAGTTCCACTGGCCTCTAAACAAGCATATTTAATCCATCTCCCTGCCCAAATTTGTTTAACTAAGTCCTGTACATCGCCTTCTAATTTAGTTTCCTGGAGGCAGACAATGTTTGCTTTCCAGTCCTGCAACAGGTTTTGTACCACCCTTCTCTTTCCCTGTTCATTCAGCCCCCTAACATTCCATGAGATTAATTTTATCCTCATGGAGTATTATGTGATTTCCCCTTCCCCTTCCTTCTATCACCATTGCTTTTGAATTTGACATCAAAAGTTATCAAATTTTTTAACTCTTGTGCTCCCTTATGCTTTGCTCCTTTAACTTCTATTGTTTGCTCCATTCTTCTGGCTTGTCTGCTTGCATCAACCTGCTTAAGCAACTCAAGTGCTTCCTCTTCAAGCCCCTGAAAATCTACTCCAAACATCTTGTGAAGTTTAAGAAGATTTTGTTGTACCCATGTTGTTGCCCTCTGTTCTGAATCAGTTAGCACTTGGGTACGTAGTGGTTCAATCTCCTGTACATCCCAAATTTCTCCAGAATTAAACATCTCCAGATGTTTTTGTTGTGACTCATTTTCGTTTGCAAAAGGTTTCCCCCGTTATGATGCATGCATATACTTCGTTAATGGGTAAACAGGAGATTTCCGCTTCTTTTCCTTCTTCAAATCCTTCTTCTCTTGGCTGGGTCCCCTTGAGATTCTGTAGATTTGGTGTTTTCCTTCCAGTTACATCGCGACTGGAGTAATTTTCCAGAGATTCATCAATCACCACCTCTTGAAGGTCAGAATTGGACTGTGGGCTGAAGTTATTAAAAATAATTGTCGCCTGATCCGGCCCTGTTGACCTATTGTCCAAGTATTTATTTTTAAAGATCTGCACATGCCGAGCACGTGCTACTTTAGTTTTTTTAAAAAATTGGACAGCTGCCTCCAAGTGATTTCCTTCTGTTACATCAACATCGACAACCTGTACTTCTGCTTTCTCGGATATAGATGGTTGGGGATCTATTATCCGCTGTAACTTCAGTTGATCTTCTCCGGTGGTTGTTCTATTGCTCTCCGGCGGGAATTCAAATAGGGTTTTCCTCTCTGCCCAGATCGGAATTATGAATTTAGTTCCATCTCTAGAAATAGAGACTTCACTTGGAATGGTCCGACCATCACTTCGTATTTCGATCCTTGCCCATTTGAGATGGTTTCTCAGTTCTGTCTCCTTCCCTGTCATCAACCATCCACCACAGAGCTCGCCGATCTCCTTGAAGGTCTCGTTCGTCCATAAATGCATAGGCAGACCCATAACCCTAATCCAAGTGGATTTGGGTTTGTATGTAGTTGGTTCACAGCCTACATATGGGTTCCACCACTCTAATTTTATTTTGTTTCTCTTCCATATCCATTCTCCCTGAAGATTTGTTCCGCCATATACCTGTTGGGGAACTCGAAGAGATAGTGTCCACCCAACATCTCGTATATATTGACTCCAAAAGCCTTCTTCCACACTGTTGTAGACCATTGTCTAACATCAGATAAGGTAGGCCTTTCTGCATTGTTTTTGTCAAAGAATCCAATAATGCACCTACCCAACAGACCTTGTTCTCTGCTTTTGACAATTACCTCGGATTCAGTCTTTTTGTCCTTAGATGTGGGTGCCTCATATTTACTGCTCTGCCATTTACTGCCCTCAACCACCTTTGCAAAAGAGACATTTATGTAACATTTTTGGGACTTGATCTTCAACTCCTTCTGTGGTATGCATTTAATAAAGCTTTGTATCTTTAATGCCACACTCCTCCACCCAGCATTAATGTCTAATTCAGGTACTATGATAACTGATCTGTCTTCTCCCTTTAGTGACAGAATGCTCATGTATCTCCCATGAGCATTATATTTCCTAGTACCAAAAAACTAAGCTGCCTGGTACTTATATCGCCATCTTCTCACTAAATTTTTCTGGTCAGATGAAGCTTCCCTGAGGATGAAGCAAATCCATTCCATCACCTTCTCACTAAGTGTAATCCTACTCATCTTGTTTCTGCTTCTTTCTACCCAGTCATACCAAAAGACATGATTGGAAGTCCATCTGGTAATGTCGTAAGATTTGAATCCTTGATTGAAGTATATTCAATTATCCCCCATGGTATAGCAGGGGTATAAGAGGACAGAAAAGGGATTTTGAGGTACCACAGAAGGTGGTAACTCAGTTGATGTGAAGGAAAGGTGATAGTTCCCGGCAAGACTACCGGAAAGATAGAGTTTCTCCCTCCTAGGAAGTAGGAGAGAGAGGGTTTTTGGGGACTGTGCTTGGGAGCAATATTTCTTTACGTTGTTGACTGTTGATGTAATGTACATAAAGAAACAGTGATGATGATTTTTCTATTTCTGGGCTAATCAATTTGGTCTTTGAGATTATCCAATATGTATCTTGGTGTGGTGACCCGGTATGGCTTGTTATTGCTGCTTCTGTCTCTTGCATGCAACTGGTTTTTGCAGCCATGGAGTGATTGACTTCTGTTTTTCCTTATCATAGCATACATCTGATCCCCATTTCCCTATAAAGAAAGAGAGAAAGATTCTTTTCGTGGTTCAATTTTGAGATATGTTGAACCTGCGATTTTCTACTACAAGCTATAAATCATCTTGCAGTCCTAATGTGTAATCTTATTTGTTCAATATCAGCTTAGCATAGCCTAGAAAGAAAGAAGAATGAGGTATCAGAGACTCAACTTCTTTTGCTTACAGTTTAGGTTATTGGATTTCTGCTTCTTAACACTCTGCATGTATGTAGGCTACACTCTATTATCTTCAACTGTGGAACAGTCCTGGAACAATCTTCATCTTCCTTATCTACAAGCACAGTGCATTGTTTGATCTACTTGAGTCCTTCCTGACAACTAAATCTCCGGAAGGTCTTCGTGCAAGTCAACTTGAGTGTAGGGTAAGCATTATTGCAAACTTCTAGGTTCACTTATCTGCTGTTTTTAGTGCCTTCCTTGTTCTCCTTTGGTTAATTGAGTTTGTTGTTTTTGTTGGTCTAGGCTGTGTTATTTTTTCAGAACAGTGGTGGCTGTTCAGGAAAGCAACCCTTGCATCATCCAAAGAGCTTGAAGCTTTGGTGTACTCATCAGATATATACAATGGCAGCAACTTCCGGACTTGGGAAAGTGATGATGGATGCCCTTATTTCCATGCTTATGGAATTGAGAAAATCCTATGGACCTGAAGTGTCTGGTATCCCTCAAAGGATCAGATGGGAAAAAAACTTGAACTACTTCCTAGGGCACTAGATATTGTTTTAAGCAGTGAAATGACAGAGCTTGGTGGATTGTTGTCATACAGGTAATACTTCATATTTCATTTAATAGAAAGATCTATTTTTGTCACACTTCTTTTGATTCATGAGTTATAGTGTGTTCCGACTTACCAGAACTACTCTGCTACTTCCACTTATGTTTTATAATGCTAGTTGTGCTTAGATGTAAATGTTCTAGGTGATACAACCACAGAGAAATAACGTACCTTAAAAAATGAGGAACACATGATGCAGGGATGCCATATTTTTTCCCACCAATACAAACACACACCCTTTTCATCCTAAATTCGATATCCTAGTTTAAGTCTGTCATAGTCTTCAATTATTTCTATGAACATGAGGATATGCTCTTGCAAATGAGTTGTCTGTTCAATAGAGTGGACATTACATTGCAACATGAAAATAATATGTAGTTTTGGTTACAGTAGTATTTCCTCACAACTTTCCGTGAGTCTCGTCTTTTAGTAGCCCAACTTTGTTTGAAAGACGTTATAAGTTACTGTATAATTTCTGAATTTGTCCCGTATTTCCCTATGGTTTTTAGTATTAATGCTATAATACAATTATCTGTAGTTTGGTTAGACTATTATTTTCTACAACTTGCCTTTATAGGCATTTTCTAGTTTTATTGATTTGACAGCTATATTCCTATTTTATGATAGGAAAACATAAGAAGGGTCTCCTTCTTATCATGGATCCCTGAGTTTGTTCCGTGTTTGAAGAAAATATTCATTTGAAAATTATTTCTTTACAGGATTGAAACGTATCCTGTCTATGCTCTTGGAAAAAGAGGTATCGGCTCAATTAATTGATGAAGATGCGACAAACCTAATTCAGCTACTTTTTGCGTCAACTAGGAAGGCAGCATTGGAGAAGATTGTTCCTGCTAGTGATAATAAAAAGAAATATCACACCAAAGCACAAAAGGTGAGGTTCATTAGTTCTTGTTGTTGATACTCTCTGAAACTCTTACTAAATGGTATATTTTTGCTTCAAATGCCATCGTTTACACCATAGTAGGGCAGCGATGAAATGAGTGGTACTTCTGCACAATAAAGTCACCAGAATTCCTGTCAGGGCTTGGATATATCTCATATTTGCATAGTATATTTCTTTCACATTTGACTCTAATTTTGTGCTTCTCATTAGGCTTAAGTTCGAGTTGCACTTTGTTGTCTACAACATAAGATTGCACAGCTCAGAGTGAGTTTTCCTATTTCGCCCTTTTCTCCTCTGGTCTCACGACCACCACACACACTCGCTTCTCTTCCTTTCTTTATTTGTCCATACGAAGTTGAGAGAAAACCAAAACAAATCAAACAAATCAAACCTCCATTTTAATTTCATCCCTCTTTTCCACTATAAACAAAATCTAGGGTTTCTGCTGCGGAGTTTGAACAAACTTTCCTCATCTCTGATGTCTGTTTCTTGTAGTTACCTCTAGACCGTCAAGTAGTAAAAGATTGAGGACTTTTTTTGTCGAAACTTTATGGGTTTTCTTTTTCAACTTTCTATTATATTAAGTGTATGTGGATCAGATCCACATGTTCTTCATTATTTAGATGGTTAGAAGAAGGGAAACTAACATATATATATGTGTGTTATTATATTTCAAGACTTGGAAATATTTACAGTTTCTTGTTAGTTTTGGATGTAGGGAGAACATGAAAAAGTTCATTTTAGTGTTCATTTTGGTATAGTTCCTGCTTATTTTGGGGGATTTCATTGGTCTTCTCAGATATGCCGATGCTTTAGCTGTCAAGCCAACGAATTTACCCCAAATGGGAAAAGGTTATCCCTGAAATGAGGCAAAACAGTGGGTTGGATTTTCTGTAAAGGGTGGTTTCCCCTCTCTGTTGCACCACTGATTTATCTCCATTTTAAAAAACCAACAGCCC